TGTTAGGGAAGACTGCCCACCAAAATATTCTCCTTGGTCATGGAGCCAATATATATATGGACCACCTTTGACATCCTCAGTAACACTGAGCTGGCTGTGACCCTTTGTTAAAATGAATAGGGGACAGATGTAATTGGATGGAAGTGGGACCATCATTTTCCATTTCATGTGTGCTACCTCCTTTATGCTAATTTGATGGCTCACCTGCTATCTGTTTCAAGATAGTTTCATTTAAGAGAACAGCTAGCTGCTCTCAGCAGCCTAAACAAATAGGGATTCATCTGTAGCCTTGTTCTGACTCAGATGTAATATGTGATATCAAACAAAACCTTGAGTTCCCTGCCCAGCCAAATGCTAAAAGCTCATTATCAGTAACTGCTGCGTGTTTTTTCTTTTTGCTCTTCAGAAGACAACCGTGAAGTTCTGGTTTGCCACAGGTGGAGCTGGGTTCTGTATCAGCCGAGGTCTTGCTCTGAAGATGAGTCCCTGGGCCAGGTAAGCATTGTTCCTAGCTGAGCTCCATCAGTACATGTTTGGAAGGTTTTAAAACACATTTTGGCTTGTCTCCTATGCTCTCTGCCACAGCCTGGGCAATTTCATTAGTACTGCAGAAAGAGTACGACTTCCTGACGACTGCACTATTGGCTACATCATCGAAGGGCTGCTGGAGGTAAAGCTGCTGCACAGCCCATTGTTTCATTCCCACCTGGAAAACCTGCAGAGGCTGCAAGGCGAGTCTGTGCTGCAGCAGGTAGGGCTATGCCTCATGGCCTGTTCTTATAGTTACACCTCAGTGTGATCAGAAAGAATACACTGTGTAGACTCAGCACCCTTCAGCAAAGAAGGATATCTGCAGACTCACTCGGAGCTGGGTCCTGTTCAGTTCCTTCATTTAGGTGAAAAGCACACTTTCACCCTAGGCACCGAGGTCATAGAGCTGTCCCCTCCTTTGGGGACAGATTCTGCTACATGAAGCCTTGGTAGGGTGTACCCCAACTCCTCCTAAACCCTGATTTTTTGCATGTAGCAGTAGCAGAAAGTATAGAAGTTTATTAAGTAGTGTTCCTGGTTTTGCCTAACAAAATTTCAGTCTTAATTCATGCTGTTCAGAAAGGCAGCTATATAAGTACTTGACATAATTAAATGTTTGAGCATTTTAAAGAACAATTTGTATGAATCTCAAGAAACTTAAAGTTGCTTCTGAAAAGCAAAGTTGCTTTTTAATTGCTGGGAAACATTTTACCTCCCTGTCAGCAGATGGAGCCACAAGGCCATCCAGCAGTGTTGCCTGCATCATACTTCTTAGCACCATAAGTAAACAGGAGTGTGGTTTTGCCCCTGCATGCTGGGTGGTTATGTTTTTCTGGCAATTGTATTAGGCAGCAGAAATGTGTGCTTGGGGCCAAATTCCACCGTGATGTTATCTCCCTTCATGTTAGTGAATTTGACTGTAACGACAGTCCAACAACTGACCATTGTTTCACTGGTCATCTTTGGTTCCATGAGACAGCTAACCCAAAACCCAGGAAATGTACAATTATAAAGAAAATGTAAGTCTTCTGGTACCTGATACGTGAAAAATTCTTAATGCAGTGCTTGTGTGGAGGAAGCTGGGTTTCCAAAGATCTAAATTTTGTTTCAGATTTGAAACATGACACTCCTTTCCATGCTACTTAATATGCAATTTTTTTTTTTTTCCCCTGTGCTAAAATATTGCTATTGCAGACTTCAGGCAATGTCTGGTAAGGCTGAACATGTTATTTAGTGAAGGTACAAACAGTAGCAGAATTAATATCCTTACAAAGCTTACAGTTGAAGCTCATCTTGTCCTTCAGGGCAGTGCAATTTTCAGACCTTCTGTGTATTCTCCCATGTTGCCCTTGGTGCCATTCAGTGCCAGCATTCCTTATGTCAGAACTAATTGCTGTCCTCCAAATGTGATCCATGTTCAGATTAGACAGCATCTTTGGAGACTCTCTTGGTACCTCATTAATAAGCCTGCTATCTCCACTCTGGTTTTCTGCATTAGTGTTACAAGTTAGGAATATTTACTTGTTTTTTCAGGTAACCCTGAGTTACGGTGACCCTGAGAACAAACACAATGTTGTGAGTGTGGGAGGAGTGTTTGGCCTTCAGCAAGATCCAACCCGGTTAGTGTCCACTTCCCAAACAAGATCTCCCTACCTTGTTCATGTTTGTCATCTGTGAGATGATCAGACCCACTAATGGGGTTATTTTCTCATGTCAGCTCATTACTGTGCCAAAAGCAGGTAGACCCACCTCTGCTCCATCAGACTGCTGCACATTCAATGCGAGTGTGTTCCATGTGTGGAGAATTCCAATCTAATGCTGTATTTTTTTTTTTTAAATACAGATTTAAATCTGTCCATTGTCTGCTTTATCCTGACACTATTTGGTGCCCTGCTAAGAAGATGTCATAATTCTTGATCAGCCACTGACACCTGTGTCTTCGCTAGTTCGCATAAGGCAGGAGTTGGGAGTTTTTTGGTGGTTTTATTCTTCTTCTGGGAGACAACCAGTGGTATCTACAAAGGAGGTAGACAGACTGTTTAGAAAAGCAATAAGGTGTGGTTTGTTCAGCTGCAGCCTGGGACATTCCAAGAAGAATCTTTGTTCTTTTGTCTAGGGGCTCTTTCATAAGACGACCACAGTCCTGTGTGTATGAGTCACTTTATACTTTCATCTGATGTCATGTGAACCTGTGCTTGGGCACCATCTGAGGCAAATGCAGTACTGGGAGTGAGTGTTTTTACTACCCTTAGGGGTTATTAGAAGCCACTGTATTGAAGCTGGAGTGCTAGAGCAGACTGTAGTCCCCATGGTGACAAGAGAGGGGAAGTTTTCACTCATCCTTCTTGGGAACAGAATTATTTAAGAGCTTCTGTGGCTTGACAGATTAAAATTGCAGCTGGCTAGAATACAGAAATCACTAGGGTAAACAAGGCTGAAAGCCTTTGTCATGAGAAAACCCTGTGTGAGGGTAAGCTTACTCAAGACTAGATGAGTTGCTTACAATGTACATTCTTCCCTGTCATCCATGTGTACCTCCTGTGGAGGTAATTGTCAGACCTGGCTCGCCTGCCAACTGAATTGCAATGGTTGACGATTATGATCTATTCCCTTGATATTTGATACTGAAAAAATATTTGCCTGACAAGATGGTAATGGTTCCTCCCACTTGGCTGGTAGTTGGTCCCATGAGCTGGAGAAGCTTGTCCTGGCAAAACACACCCTGTTTCTGAAGCAGTGTGAGAGGGAAGAAATGCTAGATTGCTGCAATGCACCGAGGAGAGTTTTGATGGTATAATTTGAGGACCTTTTATTGTATGACCATGGTTACTCCAGCTTCTTCAGATAATCTTTAGATTACCATAAAGTTGAGATCAGTGTTTGTTTTTACTCAATATTTCAACAAGTAGTTCATGCAGTCACTAAAAGGAGATGGCACACTCACAAGCAGAAGTTCAGTGCTCCGGCAGTATCATCTGCTGCTGCTTTTTAAAGAAAGTAAACTTAGTTTTTAAAGTGGAAGGAATGGGGCTCCATATATTTACTTTTTTGTTAGCCCAGACTTTGGCCATGTGCAAACCCTACCTGGCCTGAAAAATACCTCCAAAAATATGCCTTTGCAAAATCACTGTTTACTCTTATAAAAAAATACTTGCTGGTTTAGCGCTAGAGTTTGAGGCCAAATTAAGGGAAGAATAATAGAATGCCATTGTATGATCTGGAGCTGTGATTATTGGCTTGGTTGTGGATCTAGCAGAGGTTTCAGGTTTCTAAATGGCTGCACTCAGCTGTACTGTGGGGTTCACCTAGTTATTTAACTTCCTGGCAAAAGCCTGTAGTGTATTCAAGTATGCCACTTAGCACAGGGGTCAGCCTCCTCAAGTATACCGTGTTCCCTGCATTTTAACAAACCTTTCAGTGTTTACCTCAGTACGTTGTCCTCTTTGCATGATTTTAGGTAGTTCTACTGAGGAACAAACAAGCTGACTGCTACTTACTACACTCCTGCAGCTCATTCTTGTATTTTTCCTTTCTATCATGCGTACTAAGGTACACATGAGGTATGGAAATAAGAAAGCTGCAGGGAGCTGGATCAAAGCCCAGTTAGCACACTGGCTGCTCCACAATGGGCTGTCAGTGTTACAGGTGTGCCTGTCACAGAAAACAGAGGAGGATTTGTGGCATAGTAGGTTCTACCTCCTTATTAGATCTTCTGCTAACTAGAATTGAGGCATCCTGTGGTTTAATTATTTGTCATTAATAGTTCTGGAGATTCCTGGTATCCATATATTTTTTTAAAAATGCTTGTTAGGTTCTTGGTTTTAAAGTCCTGTAGCAAAAAACTGTGAAACTTCATGAGCTCTTGAGGTGATTTTGTCTTCAAGCACTGTTTCTGAACTCTTCTGTTGGAAATCTTCTTCCCCTTCCACTGGAAGCACCCTTTTGTAAGATGACAGAGACCAAGCAAGGACTGGGCAGTAATTGTCGCAAACTGCAGTTAAAAAAACCACAACACTTTATAGTGATGGCAGCAAAACTAAATGGTAGAAGTTTCACACTGTGGTCACTGGTCACACTAGGTATGCCAAAGAGGCAAGTGCCCTCAAAGCTGGGAGGGTGTTTATGGAACTTAAAAAGGACCATGTTCTCCTGCAGGGCAACAGGAAACTGTTCAGTGTGTTCAGGCTCGTTCCAAGGTTTCTTGTGTCGAGAATGCAGTAAGCTGTGTGGATCTATCAGGATGCAGCTTTTTTATCAAACTACTTTTTCATACATAAAGTGATTCTATAAAATAAATATTTAAATATGTCAAATGCTGTCTTTGTCATATTTCTTAGCATGTGCTCTGTATCAAAAATGGACCATAAACCTGCTAATCTAGAAAACTATGTCCTCCTGTCAGGCTCATGTGATGCCACGGGCCAAAGAGCAAGTAAGCTCAATGACTGGGATGTGGAGAACAGAGATGGATGAGAAGAATCCTTGCAGCTGCTTCTTAACAGAGTACAATCAAAGAATCGAGATAATGAGGATTTTAATTGTCATCTTCAGCAGCAACTTCGAGGGGGCAGATCTGGCAGGTCTTTATCATCAGACACTAAAAAAGCCTGTTTTCCTGTGCTCGCTGAAATGATACTTCAATCACGAGTGAGAGCCACGAAATTTCACGTCTGTCTTGCTGGATGAGCCTGGAGCCAGCTTGGTGCTGCGCTCCTTCGGCGGAAGCGGGGAAGGATTTCCCTGCTCGCCCGGCCCGCGGGGCCGCCCCGCTCCCGGCCCCGCCCCGGCCACAGTCCAGCCGAGACATGGAGCCGCAGCTCAGCTTCGGCGGCCGGCGGGCGCTGGTGACTGGGGCCGGCAAAGGTGCCCGCGGGCGGGGGCCGGGCCGGGGGCCGCGCCGGGCCCAGTCTGACGCCGTGTCCCCGCAGGGATCGGCCGCGCCGTGGCCGTGGCGCTGGGCAGGGCCGGGGCCCGCGTGACCGCGCTGAGCCGAACGGCGGCGGACCTGGAGAGCCTCGCCCGAGAGGTACCGGACTCCTCCTCCCGCCCCCCTTCCCCGTAGCGGGTCCGGCTCCCCCGCGGCCCCCCAGCCCACCGCCGCCGCCCTCGCCGCAGTGTCCGGGCATCGAGACGCTGTGCGTGGACCTGGCGGACTGGGAGGCGGTGGAGGCGGCGGTGGGCGCGGCGGGGCCGTTCGAGCTGCTGGTTAACAACGCGGCCGTGGCTGAGCTGCAGCCGTTCCTGGAGGTGACGCGCTCGGCTCTGCAGCGGTGAGTGCCCGGGCCCGGGACCGCGGCTCCACCGGGAGCTCTGGGCCCGATGCCCACCGAAGTCTCACAAAGCTGTGAACGTCAAAAACGGCGGCAGAGCTTTCCAGAAAAGGGTGTTACTAGAGGGGAAGCAGCTGAAAAGAAAGAAGTCAGCAGCTGGTGTACAAGACAGTGGACAGGCTGACCTGCACACTTTTAGCAATGCCCAGTGTTAGTTGATTGTTACTGCGTATGTCCTTTTTCTTTACTGTCTTTTCATTCTTTACATCGTCATCTTTCACCCCTTAAACAGCAAAAGGAAACAAAGCACTGGCTCCATTTCTAAGTAGCCAGAACCAGTGTCACCTCCAGAGTGGCGGGGTGCACCTGTCATCCCACTGGCATGGGAGGAGTGCCTTTGCTGTTCATCAAGCTCAGAGCTTCCAGTCTAGTTCCAGCTCGGTTAAAATGAAAGGCAGTTGTTGCTAAGACAATTCAGAAGTAGAGACAACAAAGCCAGGTAAGGAAGCAAAAAATGATCATGGTGGGAAATTAAATTTGCTAACTACAATAACATGACTTCTTTATTCTCTGAAAAGGTCCATAGTTTTGTTGTGAGTACACTTTAGGATACAGGCTATCTTGACCACATCCTTCTGAGAAAATGGGTCATGCTGTGTTCCTGTGTTAAAAATGGTTGCTGAGACTCTTATTGTATTAATAAAGGTTGTGACTAGATCAAATATATGGATTCTACTAAGATCATTCTGCAGAACTGGCAGGTGGAAGCCTGACAAAGGAAACACAATGTGGCAAACAGAAGAAATGCTGCCTCTACCCACCTTACAGCAACTTTGCTTTGTAAATCTGTATGAAGGGTTTGCTTGACCGAAGAGTTATCTGTCCTGGCTGAAGCCCAGGGCTCTGTTTAAACTTTGACAGGAATTCCATTACGCTGCAGAAGAGCAGAGTCCTGTGCAAAATGCACCTGATGCATGCATGCTCCTCCTCACACACTGACAAGCTTGCAGCCAGTGGATGGTTCCAGTTCATTGCTGAGATCCCACCTGACCATTCTGCTCTCCTGATGACCTGGCATTTCTGTCCATGTCCTAGAGTATCACCAGTGTTTCAGCACTTGCCCTCTGCTGCTTCTAGCTCCCTGGGCTGAGCTACAACCGCTCTTTAACTTAAATCTGATTTATTTGTAGGTCTCTTGATGTGAATTTTGGGGCCGTGCTTCATGTTTCCCAGGTGAGGAAGAAGTGTCACTGCAGCTGCCTCCATGAATAGCAGTGACTAAATTGTTGTACATAACAGGGGTATCTGTCCATTGTGGGGGCTGAAAGGACTGCAGTCCAAAGTCAATCTGACAAACTACATGTACAGTCCCTTCCCACTCTTGCTTTGACTCTCGTGTAAGCAGGAGGCACTGAGGACTTGGTTCCTCCAGGTGTTTTTGTTCTTTGGTCTACCATAATAGTCCAGCAAGATTCCTATAGAGTGAAATAATGATTTCTCTTGTTAGGATTCTGGCATTCCTTTTTATTTTTCTCTCCTTCCCCTCCCAGATAGTTGCTCGGCAGATGATTGCACAGGGGCTGCCAGGGGCTATTGTGAATGTCTCCAGCCAGGCATCGAAGCGTGCGCTGAGGGATCATGCTGTTTATTGTAAGTGTGTGCAGCTTCAGCAGTGCCCCTCTCAGTTTCGACCAGCTGGAGACCCATAGTCACCAAGCTGCCAGTTTTGGGCAGCAAAATAGCCGTGTGTTCCATAGCACCTCCAGAGCAGGTGCTGTGCAGTTAAATATCTCCTCTTCTTCCCTTCTCTTAAAGGTTCCACAAAAAGTGCTCTGGATATGCTGAGCAAAGTAATGGCAATGGAACTGGGACCCCACAAGGTAGGAGTCCGAGAGAGAAAAGTGTGAAAGCTGAACCTGAGCACAACCACAGCAGTTGGATTAGATTGTTTGTTGCTCCTGGTCCCAGATTAGGGTGAACACTGTGAACCCCACCGTGGTTATGACTGACATGGGGAGAATTAACTGGAGTGACCCTCAGAAATCTGCCGCCATGATTAATCGGATTCCCCTGGGAAAGTTTGCAGGTCAGTGATGTACGTCTGTCCCCAGGCTGTGCACATGTTTTCTCCAAGCCTGCCTTCTCACTGATATCACAGCCAGAAGTTGCTGATTTTTTGGCAAAGTGACAGCTCTGCTGAATGCCTTTTGGCTGAATTCCTGCAGTGTTTGATCAGGACAGGGTGAGAATCAACCCCTCCTCTTGCTTTTTCTACAGCCTCCTCATCTTGGGACAAGTTTACTCTATTGTTCATAAACCTGACAGGGTGTTTGCTGTGACCTAAGCACCCTTTGATCACAAGGACACTTTGATGTCCAGCTCTCAGCCACACTGTCCCAGACACTTTATCAAGCACAGTTTGAAGGCAGAAACACTTTCCAGGTCTAATTACCTGCAGAGGTCAAAGGCAGACCTTCTTAAGTGCTTGTTTTTCTGGTACACTTTAAGGTGGGCATCAGATGTTCTCTGTGTTTGATTGCAGAGGTGGATGATGTGGTGAACAGCATTCTCTTCCTGCTGAGTGACAAGAGTGCTATGACAACTGGCAGCTCACTGATGATTGATGGGGGCTTTCTTGTCTCCTAAGATGACACCTGCATTTCACACCTAGCCTCAATTTTCATATGAATACTGCCTAGATGTAAACTGGATAGAAAACAATGACTCACTACTTGCTGGAAGGGCAGCAGGGCTGAAGACTGTATTAGAAGTGAGGCAGAAAATCAGCTTTGCAAGGCTGCTATATAATAAAGCTCACATACACCTTCATGGAGAATGTTTATTGCACCAAATAAGGTTTTATCTTGTCACTCTACATGATGATTAGAAATTGGACCTCTCTTCCAACCCTGTTCCCCCCCCCACAACCCTTCAGAAGCTCTCCCTGTTCCAACCAAATCCACAGAGTCTGTCTGCATTTTCAGTGGGAAGGGAAAGAAGTTAGCAGACTCCTGATTGCTTCCTTTGTTGTCTTTAGTAGAAAAAAAAAAAAAATAGAGGCAACAATCCCAGCCCTGCTCTGCAGAGACTGGATCTTGGGGGGAGGCCCTGCTAAAGACTAATGGGGGGGAGCAGCACCATGCTATCCTAGGGTGTGCACACACAAAAAGGCAAATGCATTGATTGCACAGAGCTGTTTCACTCACAGAGTTTGGCTAGTACCCAATAAAGCACCTAATGATTCGTTTTTCAGCTTCTCATTTACTTTGACCCTTTCCAGGGCTGGTTACGATTTCTTTTAACAGTCTCAGGAACATTCTGCTAGAGCACCAGTTTGTTAACTGTTAGCCACAGCAGGCTGGGCAAGGAGACCCTACCATCCTTCCCAGCTCTTCTTGTCTTTCAGCACCATTGAAATCAGCTCCCTCCCCACTCCCACCAGGATGTTAACCACCTGTTTCACCTGCAGGTTGAAACAGGTGTTTCCGGAACAGGATGGATGTCTCAGCCCTTTCCACTTGGAGTTCAGGAGAGCCAAAACAGCTTGTTGCCTGAAGGAGCTACCTTGCCTTCCCCGCTGTACCTCCCCTGGGGGCTGTATAGTCCCCAGCTGGTCTCCTGTCCCCACTGCCCCTTCACATCAACACTGACGTTAAATCAAAGAGACATTTAAAAAACACTGACTTCGTACATGATGAAGGGCCCTACACATCCCAGCCCCCTTCAGAAACACCCAGCTTAATATGCAATCTGTCAGAGGACGACAGCATGCTGAGCCAACACCAAGGCCACAGCCCTCAAAACATGGTACACTTTTTGCCAGGCTTCTTCACAGGCGGTGGGCAGAGCACAGCCCGGATGGCTTCATCAAACACCGTCTTCAAGCCCCGCTGTGTCAGCGCAGAGCATTCGAGGTACTTTACTGACCCTGGGGAAAGAGAGCTGCAGCTCAGCCACTCCAATTCTCCCACCATGCACTTGCTCACCCACTCACAAAGCTCAGTGCCACCGGCATCTGCCTGCTCATGAGACTCACCGATCTCCCGAGCCATGGCCAAGCCCTGGGGATAGGTGATGGGGGCCAGTTTCTTATCACGTAACCTTTCAATGGTGTCCTTATCATCCCTCAAGTCCAGCTTGGTGCCCACCAGGATAATAGGTGTATTTGGGCAATGGTGTCGGACCTCAGGGTACCACTGAAACAGAGAGGCATGATAAGAAAAGTAGTTACATGAGTGGCCAGAACCATAAGGATGCATTCCTACTATTGGGAATGAAGAGGTTCACTACTGACATGGTGGCAACACCTGAACAGGATATTGCTGCCTACAGTTCTAACATGCTCTGCAAAAAGAGACTGGTGTAGAGGTAATAATGAAGGCACCAAGACACAGAATCCTGACAGACATTGCCAGCCAACTCTGTGCACAGCGCTTTCCTTAACTGCACATTAGCTTCTAAGACATCCCTTACCTTAAAACACAGATTCAGAAAGGCAATAACTTAGCCAAAGAAGTCATTAATAAAAAGCAGTCCCCACTTAAAACCAGCAGACTATGATTTGCCCTCATCAAAACATTACTGCTTGAAGTTTTAGGCTTGTAGGTGTGGTGCTGGCTGGGGCAGGTAGTGTCACTGGTTCTTCCCTTCTACTGTTTCACCCAGGAGGAGAATACTTTACCTTAGCTCGGACATTCTCAAAGGAGGCTGGACTCACAAGGGAGAAGCAGATCAAGAAAACATCCTGTGCAGAAACAAGAGGGTCAGCCATGCAGAAAGAAACAGCTAGAGTGAAGGGAGGCTGCAGAGGGAGCCTGAGAAAGGACAACCTCCCCCCACGAGCAAGGGCTGCTGTGGCCTTAAGAAATTCTTCCCCATTAAGGGTGTTAAACTAATTCAGAGAAGGAATGGACCATGAGTGTATGATTACATCTTCTTTCACAATGCTGGGCTCTGCATGTTAAGAGCCTGAGGCCTCAAACATCTTAACAGCACTAAGGGCTTCACCAGCAGTACAGCTGCTTAGGAACTGCTACACCCGGGAACACTCCTAGGGCAGCCTAACGGGGATCTGTCCTGCTGAGAGAGAATGGGAATATGGAACTGGCCACGCTGCACAGCAGCCCTACAGCATTCCTTTTACTTGAGCCACCCATAACTCATTACAAAGAAGAGAATAGAACAGGACAATGTCTTAGGAGAAAATCAGCTGTGATACTTCTTAAACAACCAGAATTATGGGTGTAGCTGCAGGAACTCAGACTTTCCTCCAAGGAAAGAAGCATGCCTGTTCTTGGGAGCCTCTCTGTCTCTGAGAGGGAGCAGTCACCAGTCAGTCCAAGCCCAGCACTCACCGTCTGTGGATAGGAAAGAGGCCGCAGTCGGTCATAGTCTTCTTGCCCTGCTGTGTCCCAGAGGCCCAGATTCACTGGCTTTCCATCTACCATCACATTGGCAGAATAATTATCAAACCTGCCAATGAGGAGTCCCCATCAGTGACAATTTTGTAGTGACCTTCACATCTTTATAAGGAATTCAAAGGGGCAGCGAATGAGGAAAGGACACTGCAGCAAAGTTCCAGGGGGGACAATCTGCCTTCCTCACACACACAGCCACAGCATCATCCTTACCTGTCAAGTTCACAGTCTGATTTGCAACAGCCACCTCCTCACATACAAGCCAAACTTTTACACACACAAGCATACAGATCAAAAAGCAACTGAAGCCCAAGGCCATTACTTACACGGTGGGAATGTATTCTCCAGGAAAGGCATTTGTGGTGTAACTGATCAGCAAGCAGGTCTTCCCAACAGCTCTGCAGAGGGTAAGAGTGACAAGCATAAAGAAGGGTACAGCATGGAGCACTAAGGCAGTAAAACTCACCCTTCCCCCACCGAAAACACACGGCTAGGTAAAAAGCTACCATGTGAGAAAACAAACCTGTTGCAGGCTGGAATTCTCTAGTTGTCACAGACATGGCCTGAACTCAAAAGGTGCACCTTGCCTGAGCGCTTCCTAACCCTGTTCTCTGCCACTCTTTTTCCCTACCCATTCAGCCCTCAGCAAGACATCAGTCAAAATACAGTTGTTTCATGAACCAAGACAGGGAATAAATTTGGGTTGTGTGCTGGGCTCAACAGATGCGTAGTAATTTAGCAAAACAGATAAACAGTGAGGTTAAAAAACATGCAACAATGCAGAACTCTGCAAGCTCCTCAGATACAGGAATTCAGTATCAATAAACACAAAGGAGAAAAAGTAAGCATCCATAAACAAAAATGGACTTTAAAATTGACTGCTGTCAGTCTGTAAAAGATTAGTGAAGAAGGATAAAAATACCAGCTCAGGGCTTTGCTGAAGGCTGGTGGGATTGGTGAGCCCAGCAGTGGCAGCTGGCAAGTGCCAGGACAGCAATGGAGTGAGCACAGGGACTTTACCCAGCCCTGCAGATTTCCTGAGAGCTTCACTGTAAGAACAGAGGAGTACCAGCAGTGTGAGCACCCTCTTTATGATGGAGAAAGTTGTGAACTGCAGACAGCTCTCCAGAAAAAGACTGTGAGTGCCAGTGCCAGGGCAAGCTGGCTCTGAGGTGCCTGGGTGAAGCTGAATAGCTAGCAGAAATGGGTATCCCCCACCCAATTCTGCAGCCAGACTGATGTAAGAGAGGATGTCAGAAGAGAGGAAGAGAGCTGACAGTCCCCTGCACACACCAGGATGACAGAAAGCACAGCGAGAACAAACCACTATTACAACTCTTCCTTTGGATTAGGTCCCCTCGGTCTGAGAAGAGAGAAGTTTTGTCATGAACCACTATGCTGACTGGTCCAACTTTCCTCCTGAAGTGTGACTTCTCTTACCCACCAAACAGGGACACTTGTAATTCACAAAAACCTGTGTATCTAAGTGGTTTTTTCAGTCTGCACTGTTGATTTAGTCTTAAGACAAAACACACAACAGCTGAACTCCATTTCCGAGATCCTGAGCTCCCAGTCACTCCTCTCCCCTCTGCAATAGAGCTGTGCTTTCCCCATCTCCCTTCTTTAGCCCTCACAGGCTGGAACCTGGAAGGCCTCATCACAAATGTGCATTTGAGGGGGTGGCATGCACGAGAAATGGAAGTCTAGTCCCTGCCTAAGGCCAGTTCACATTTGGGTCTGGGTACCTCAGCTCTGTTCTCGCTGAGGTGGTCAGAAAAGTAAACTGGAATTGTGAGGAAAAATATGCAGGATGAGCTAGGAAAGTTACAAAGCAGCATAAATCTAGTGCATGCCTGCATCTTGCAGGCAGATGTGTCCCCAAAAAAAGGCATTTAGGAAGAGCCTTAAGAAAAAAAGCAAAAAGGGTGACAAGGAGCACATGGTGAAATCAGAAGGAGCAACGCATTTCACCTCGGAACAATCAACAATAGGACATACGAGACCTGCGAACATCAAGATTTTCGGGAGGACTCTGTCAGGAACCAAGGTACAATGAAAAATAGCAAAATACCGGCACCTAAATGAAACAACGAGGCACACATAAAACCGAGGAGAAGCCTGTGTTTGCTACCCAGGCAGCACCCAAGTTCATGAACTATGAAGGGAGCAGGGCAGGGCTGGGGGCCGCGGCCAGGCCCCGGTCCCCCGCCGGGACCGCACGGCGACTCGGCCCGCCGGCCCCGCTCCCGCCGCCCCGGCCCGGCCCCACCCGAGCCAGGCCCCGGTCGGTCCAGGCCGGACCGAGCCTCGCCGCCCGGCGCGGGGCCTCCCGCCGGCGGAGCAGCTCTGCCGGGACGCAGCCCCGGGCCAGCCCTCCCTCCTTCCCCCGGCGCCGCCGGGCCCGTTCGGTGC